TGAGCTGAAGAGTTCAGGGACAGTGCCCAGGCCCAGAGTTCAAGCCCATGACTGACAAAAAAAAATCTCACAAACTTTCCTGCCTGGGCTGTTTTTCAACCTCAATCCTATCTCAGCTGCCTGAGTTGTTAGGATTTCAGATGTGAGCTACCAGTGCTCTGTTTGGAGTGCTTCTTTTTTTTGGGGGGAGGGTCCAGTCGTGGGGCCTGAACTCTAGGCCTGGGCGCTGTCCCTCAGCTCTTCAGCTCAAGGCTAGTGCTCAACCACTTGAGCCACAGCGCCACTTCTGCCTTTTTTTTTTTTTTTTGCTTATGTGGTGCTGAGGAACAGAACCCAGGGCCTCATGTATGCAAGGCAAGCACTCTACCACTGAGCCACCTTCCCAGCCCCTTGGAGTGCTTCTTTAAAGGCAGCTTTCCACTACCTCCCCAGATTCTTTGAATAGGAATCCAGGCTAGTAGACCCTGGAATGTGGATTTTTAAAATGCTCTTGAATGCATCTGTTACACAGACAGACAAAAAAACCACCTGTGGACACCCTAGATTTTCCTTTGTGTGTATGGGTGGGGGGTTATACTGAGGACTGAACCCAGGTCTTTGAACGTGCTATGCAAATGCTCTACCGCTGACCTACATCCCAGCCCTTTTCTGAGACAGTCTCCGCATGTAGCCCTCAAACTCATGCTCTGGCCTTAACCTCATGATCCTCCTGCCCCTGTCTCTGAGAGCTGGATTACAGGTATGTGCCTCCATGCCCGGCACACACTATTCTTTCACAGAATACCAAGTGTTGACCTAATTGTCAACCAATGTCTCATGTTTCTCATCTGTAAAATGGAGGATAACAACACCTTACAGGGTTATTTTGGAACTTGGTAGGTAATAGCTAACTCTGCACTTACTGGAGGTTACTTATTGTTATCACAATTATACTTTGGAAGCCCAAAGGGGATTAAGATACTATGACTGGACAAACTAATTGGCCACAAGATGATTGGATTAGATGGACAATTCCCCAGGGCCTGCCACTCCAAGTAGCAGTCACTGGAGGTGCAGTAGTGTCTGTATCACCTCAGCTGTGTCCCTACCAACCCTAGCACTTCCAATTGAAGAGGATGAAGGAAGTTGTTGGGGACAGGGCACACCACATACCTGGTTGTTCTTCCCTTTTTGATGGCATTTTCTTTGCATCTCTGGGGAAGCCTCCCAGTGGATCTAGCAGGGGTAAGTAAAGGGAATGAATGGGTTGGTTCATTGATTTTCCAAACCAACGACTCATAGAGCCAGGCAATCAGGCTCCAGGGTGCTGGGGAAATTGGGATAGGGTAAATTTCAGGAGAAACACTGGATACAAAGGGAGGCTTGAGCGGGGAAAGGCAGTACTGTCCAGGGGTAATGGAAGGCTGGCAAGGTTTCCAGGATGAAGAGGTCCCCAGGGAGCTGGATGAGGCTGGGGGCCTGAGGATGGCCCAGGTTCCAGGGGCTGACCTCTTTGTGAGCCCCATCTCCTATGTCATGGGCACTGAGAGAGAACAGGGCGCCTCGAGCTCCCACCATCAGCCTTGCTGACGCCTCCTCCAGAAGCAGTGTTGAGTAGTTCTGGGCTTGGCCCTTGAAGTGCCGCATCCCAGAGAGTTCTGGGAAGAGTAGGAGCAGTAAGCTCAGAGCTGTTTTCTGCCCCCCCGCCCCCCCCGCCACCATCCTGGCTTCCAAGGCCTTTCAGAGTGAAGCGTCTCACCTTCATAGGAGATGGTCGTCCGTGGGGTAGCATCTAGCTCTCGGGATGGTCTCCTCAGGGAGGGTCCAGGGACTGCCACTGCTGTGAGGAAGCTGAAGAGGAGCGGCCAGAGCCTCCCCCACATCTTCCTGGGAAGGTCCAGACCAACAAGACCCCCACGGGCAACCAGGGACAGTCACAGGTGGGGATGGGGAAGAACAGTCACAAGGGGTCAAAGTCCAAGAAGGTCACGTGGAAGGTCAGGGGTCATGAGACCATGGGGGTCAAGGAGTCATGGGGCCAGGGAGGATCCTGGAATGGGGGGGACATGGAGCCACCGGGTTGTGTGGCCATGGAATCACAGCTAAGAAGTCAGAGGGAAGGAGGGATTACATGCCTTTCAACATCAACTGCAAGCTCCATGGTGAGCAGGAGTTGTGGTGTCATGAGGGGGTTACAGGTTACTATCAGGGTCACCTTGCCTCTGACAGCAGAGCTAGTCTTGGTTCTTTGAGGTCTGTTTTCTGAAGGAAAGCAAATAAGACACACAATCAAAACATGGAAAAATATCCTTGATCTGTGTTTAAGTAGAAGAAGGATAACATTACCCAGACTTCAGGGGGCACCAAAAGGTGGACACCAGCTTCCACAGGATCTCTTACTCTAGATTGACTCACAGGAATGGACTTGAGTCATTCTGTCTTTCTCTGCTCTGATACAGGAGGCTGGGATAGAACTTGCTCTCCTTACCAAGACCCTAGACTCCCCCCCAACCCAAACCCAATGTATTGGCCTCCAATGGCTAGGTCAGCAGTCTGCTGGCTTCCATCTCTGGGCTTTAATTCTGAGAGAATGCCTGCTTCTCCAACAATGGAGTAGCAGCTGCTCCTCCTGCCTGCGGGGGTGCCATATGCAGGAAGGCCTGGGCAGAGTTGCTTAATGGGCCTTTGTTATTTTTGTCCTGTTTTCCTTTTGTTTTTTTCTTTTCCTTGGCCTGAGAGCTCCCTCTGGAATTTCTCTTTAATTAGACATTTCTCGGCATTCTTCTCCAAGGAGGCACACATCTCTGCCTTGCCCATGTGAGTCCCAGTCTGTACTGTTCCCTCTGGCTAGGCATCCCCACCTGTCCCTACCTGCTAGTAGGCAGACACAGGCATACATGGGTGGAGGCAAAGTATAGGTGTCAAGGTTCCTTAGCTGAATTGGTGTAATGTGTATGCAGGAGGCTGGGATATGCAAGGCCAGATACATGAGACTTAGGCAGTATGGAGAAGGTGAACAATGGGACCCCTGAGGTCTTGCCACTTCCCCTGACATATCTTGGGAACTATTTCCAAACAGTTGAGGATGAGGTGGAGGTGGGTAACAGGCCTCCCCAATCCATGCAGCAAGCCTCTGAAGGGACTCCAGAAGGCTTCCTGGGCTGGAGTGGGTATGGAGGAGGCCTGACCCACTCCAGGTCATCAGACACCCATAGGCAGGATCAGAGGGTGTCACTGGCCTCGCCTTTCCCCTCCAGGTCAAATATTAACTATCTGGCCTTGAAGATAGGAGAGGAAACAGGAGTTGGCTGGAGGGATAACAGGAATTTGGAGGGTTTATTCAAGAGGCAAAGGTCAGCAATAACATGGCAGAGAAACAGGCACAAGAGGGGGAGAGAGAGAGAGAGAGAGAGAAGGGTCTCTGGAGCATAGAACTGGTTCCTGGTTTGGACACCAGGGCAGCAAGGGACTGCCCATGCCCCAGCCCTCACTGTGAAGGCACACCTGTTTACCTTTGGGGCCTCCTATTTGCTCAGCACAGAAACGGGGAGCCATATAGGTAGGAGGGATCAGTCTCTAGGATTGGGCAAGAGGAACACATCCCAGATTAGAAGAGCCATTCACAGTGTGGTGCATGGCACACTTACACAGGTTTCTTCTGAGTCACATGGGTCCAGAGGAAAGGAATGTACACACACACACACATACACAGGTGAGCATACACACTTTCAGAAAGGATTGTGAACACATTCACAGGAGTCATTCACACACTCATATGCACCAGGCAGTCTACTCACATGTGTGTTTACAGAGATGGCCATGACTTGTAGTCATACATATTCACATAAAGGTTATATCCCCAGGTCTAGTAGCTCAGCAGTTCACAGAGCCTCAGAGGTGGACAAGCTGGATTATATACATGGGTTTACATGGACTATATACACATTCAACAGGAAGGTCCCGTATACATACACATAAATGTGTGCACACATGCACACAAACCACTGATCAACTACGCACAATAATGCTCATATAAGAGTCATGAACATGTATTCACAAACACAATTACTACCATGCAGAAACAAGCTCCCATGCATTCTGGGGTCAATATTCTTGCTGCAGGCTCGGTGGTTGCCAGTGTCCAATGGGGTGAGATGCAGAACAGAACCCCACCTCCTTTCCTGAAAGTCCCATTCTAAGGCCAGATTCCATATGTGTGTGTGTGGGTTGGAGTGGGGGAGGCTTCTGGCCTGGAATGAACGCATAGGTCAAGGCTATTTTGCAAGGGAGGAAGCAGGTAAGAAACCAAGACAGGAGGAGACTCAGTTTAGCAAAAGGAAAGAGAAGGGGATTTGTAACTTAGCAGTCCTCTACACCACGGAACTACTGCTGTTTGGGGTGGCGTGCACGGCCCCAACTTAACCTGTTGGGAGGGCGAGGCTAACTGGGAGGGGCAAAGCATCCGCCCTCTCCTCCCCCAGCGGCTGAGGGTTCAAGGTCTCCAGTTCATGCCCCACACTTCCCTCCAAGTTCTACAGTCTGGGTTCTTTCCAAGGCCTGTTCCTGAACTCTGATCAGCTCTTCCCTACTAGACCCAAGGGTGGACGAAACAGGCCAGAGGGGGGCCTCCCAACAGGATCAATGGAAGATCAATCAGCAGGTTCTCGACCTTCATCCTAGATGCCCACCTGCCTACTGGTGGCCGTCTCTCCCTGGGCTCAGGATGGAGGTCTCTCCTCGCTCCAGGGAGTCCCTCCCTTGCCACCCACTCTCCACCTTCCTGGAAAGTCCACGATTCTCTCCTTTTATATCTAACCTCACTCTCCACGGCTGCAGCCCGAGGACAAGCTCTCCTTCGATCCAGCCGGACGCCAGGAGACATGACCCAGATCTAGGGGAACACTGTTCGCCACACGGGTCCCCGCCCCGCTCCAGTCCCCCCCACCCCCGACACCCTTGGGGTGAGGGGCGGTCGGTGCCCTGCGCGACCCTCAGGCCTGGCGCACGTCCTTCTAGAGCCTTTATGCCGGACCGGGGGTCTTGGCAGTGAGAGAGGCCTGGCCCAGCTCGGAGGGTGGAATGGCCACAAGAAAGATGTCGCCGGTTTTAGGCCCCCAGCCCCGCCACCGCCCGCACTCCCCGCCTCCCTCACCTTTGCGCTGGGATCCGGGGCCATAGAGACGGTGAAGAGCGGCTTGGCCACCCCACAGCACCAGCTGCGGGAGGAAGGGGCCGCGGTCAGAGGCGGGCGGGGGTGGAGGCGGAGCCGGGGGTGGGGCGGGGGCCTGGAGGCGGGCCGTCAGGGCAGGGTGCGGAGAAGGGCGCTGCTCCCTCTTTCGCGCCCCCCACCCTAGCACAATAGAGGCGGTTTGAGGGTGAGGCTCAGCCCTTCGGCATCTGGGGTCCCCTGTTCCCGGCGCAGCGGCCCGGCCCCGCCCCCTGGTGGGACCTCACAGCCCGGTGCGCACTCCACAGGCTTGAAGCCTGCGCGCCCCTCCCACTCACCTATTGCGGGGTGGCGTGGGGCTAGGGGGGAGCGGTCGACGTACAAATCTGCCCAGTGGTGCCGTCGTTCCCAGAGGGCCATCTGGCTTTTTGTATAACCTGCATCTCACTTCTCTCTTGGCCATCCCCTCTGGCTGAGGGTGTGGAGGACGGGATGAGGTCCTACAGTAGGTTTAAGATCGCAAGGGTCCGGGTTCCTAGCTCAAAGGCCTCCGCTGCTTGGATGTTCAGCTTGAGGTCTGAGTGGCTGAGATGGGGGCTTGATCTGAATGTACTAAAAAATGCTTTTTTTGTCGTTGTTGTTGGTTCTGGGGCTTGAACTCGGGGCCTGGGCATTGTCTCTGAGCTCTTTTGCTCAAGGCTAGCGCTGCACCACTTTGAGCCACAGCTCCACTTCCAGTTTTTGAGTAGTTCATTGTTAACTGTCTCACAGGGGCTTTTCTGCCAGGTCTGGCTTCAAACCATGATCCTCAGATCTCAGCCTCCCAAGTAGCTGCCTAAGCCAGTATCCAGCTAAAATATGCTTTTCTCTTTTTGCTTACCAAATCATAGTCCAAACCCAGGTTCATCTCAGGTATGTGGTCACTGAGGCTCCTGCCTTGTCTTCCAGCTTCTGTTGAACATCATTCTTACTCTAAAATTTCGAGTGTACGGTGCCAGGCAATCAAATACCCACCTTCTCCTTTCCAGGTTCAATCACTTTACCCAGCAGCAGTCTGGGCAACGGTCTCTGAATCAATCAACTCCCTCCTTCCCCCAACTCCTTTAACTAGGATGGTCTCCCTGGCACACTCTCTTCCTCCTTCCTAGAGGATTATTAAAGGGAAGCCAGACCTGCAAGGTGTAATCCTAGATTTCTAGTCTGAGATCAGCAGCATCACTAGGTCAGCCCAGGCAAAAAATTTGTGCGACTTGTCTCAAATAAAGAACTAGGCAGAGAGGCCTGTGCCTCTTATTGCGGCTATGTGGAAGCATAAACAGAAAGAGCCTAGTCCAGGCCTGCCTGGCAAAACAAATGGCAGAGCAAAAAGGATGGAAAGCTTGGCTCAAGCAGTAGAGTACTTGACTAGCAAGCCCAAGGTCCAGGGTTCAAACCCTATAACCACACAAAAAAAAGAGGAAGTAACCAACTGTCTTACTGTCTAAATGAAACCTGAACTCAGGCTTCCATTACCTAGTCTGCTCACCCCTCCCCAATCCATGATAATACTGATGCGGGCTCAAGAGGACTAATGTTCCACAGGAACAAACTCTTATAAGTTCATAGTAGGTTGAGCCAGATTCTAGTGGCATTTTCCTAGGGACCTTGGGAAAGACACTTCATCCCTTCTTTTGGATTCCCCAAAACTCCATTTGGCACTGAAGCTCATGTAAACTCATAGTTTGGACTGCTGTGTGTGACTACAGACTGCTAGACAGCAGGGCCCACATCACACTTCCACCTTCCTGTCAAACACATCTCCCAGCACTCTGCCAACAGGATGTATGTGTGGGATGGGGTGGAGGAGATGACTGGGGAAAATGCTTATTAAAAAGTACACACACTTTAGAGTTCCCAGCTTCAATTCTTTTATTGTACTCACATCCCATCTTGAGGGTCTAGTAGCTCCATTTTATTGAGGCTCTAAGAAATATCCTGAGTTGAAATTTATTCTTGTGTTTAAAGAAGACAGGCAAGATTGGGAAGGTCTGCGATGGTGAAAGCAGGTCAAGCTACAGGGGAAATATCTATCACTAGCAAATGGAGAATTGTTCAAATCTGTACATAGTCTTGTTTTAGAGAAGTATGGAGAAGGGGCAAGTAAGTTGAGGTGTTTTGTGTTTTTGGACCTGGGGCTTGAATTCAGGGTCTGGGTGCTATCCCTGAGCTCTTTTGCTCAAGGCTAGTGATCTACCACTAGAGCTACAGCACTATTTCCGGTTTTCTAGTGGTTAATTAGAGATGGTCTCACAGACTTTCCTGTCCCACTTGGCTTTGAACTGTGATCCTCAGATCTCAGCCTCCTGAGTAGCTAGAATTACATGCAAGAGCTACCAGCTCCTGGCTTAGAGGTTGAGTTTTGATTTTTTCCCCCTAAGGGGAAATAGAAGGAAAAACTCATCTAGCTTCTTTTTTTTTTTTTTTTGTTGGTTGTGGGGCCTGAACTCTGGGCTTGGGCACTGTCTCTGAGCTCTTCAGCTCAAGGCCAGTGCTCTACCACTTGAGCCACAGCACCACGTCTGGCTTTTTCTGCTTATGTGGTGCTGAGGAATCGAACCTAAGGACTCATGTATGCAAGGCAAGCACTCTACCACTGAGCCACCTTCCCAGTCCCTCTAGTTTCTTTTCAGGAATAAAATCCTGAGAAGATGGATTGAATGCAGAATTCAGTAAAAACTTTATGAAAGATGTATCCGTTGACCTGTGGCAAAGTGAGCTGGGGTTAACAGAGAGGTGTGGGGCAGGAAGACTGCCTAGTACCTGATAGGAAAGTAATTCCAAAAGCCAATAGGTGAAGAGGCTTGGCTCAAAAGTTTTAAGACATGCACAGTGCTGACTTCACATACCTTTAAATGGTAGCAAGTAGGCCATTGTGGTAGGTTCTGCATCTCACTTAACATTACTATTGGGGGAGGGGGGAGGCTGGGAAGGGATGTGAAGGGTAAACCAAAGGAGGAGGCTGCAATGCTTGGTAAGAAATGTACACATTATCCTGCCCATGTAATTGTAACCCCTCTGTACAGTATGTTCACAAATAAAAAATAAATTTTAAAAAAAACATTACTATTAATGGCAAGACTTCCTCCTCTGAGGTGCTCTGATGGCAGACTCAAACCCTCATACTTTTTTTTTTTTTTTTGGGTCCGGTTGTGGGGCCTGAACTCTGGGTCTTGGCGCTGTCCCTCAGCTCTTCAGCTCAAGGCTAGCGCTCTACCACTTGAGCCACAGCGCCACTTCCAGCTTTTTTCTTTTTGCTTATGTGGTGCTGAGG